CATATTTACCTTTTGCATGACTTAATACAAAGAATTGCCATACAATTTCAGGTTTTCAGACCTTCCTATTGGTTATTCAGGCTTACCTTATTTTTCTTTTGACTTTATGAGGTGATGACTGCCATATGCCAGAGTTGTTAGCTTTATTCCATTTATCTGAAAATCATAAAGGATCATCTGAAAAATGAAATCACAACTTCAATAAGTACTGTGCCCTGTGTTTTAGTCAGAAAGATTTATTTAAAATAGTTTTTTATATGATAAACCTTATTATGGGACCTCTGGTAGGGTAGCATCTAAGGCATTTGACTGCTAACCAGACAGCTGGCTGTTCAAATCCACCAGCTGCACCTCGGAAGGAAGGTTGGCCAATCTACTCCTGTAGTGATACCACCTCAGAAACCCAAGGAGGGGTCACTATGAGTCGGATCTGACTTGACAGCAGTGAGTTTTGTTTTTTTTTGTAAATCTTATTATGTCTCAATGCATGGCATAATGGCATAATGTACATATACTACTAGTTAAAGCTAAGAATGGTATGGAAGATTGGCACATGGGACATTTTAACAGAGGTAAAAAGAAAAGCTTTTTGTTGTAGATTGCAATAATTATTGTGCAAAATGTCAAGAGGTAAGGAAGAATGGTAATTCTGAGGAAATATAATAACATGTTGCTTTGTCTTATGAATTGTAGCTGACTTTGGCCTGGCAAAGCAAAAGCAAGAGAATAGTAAACTCACGTCTGTTGTTGGAACTATCCTGTATTCCTGGTAAGGACAATTATTTTATGGCTCTCATAAATTATATTTAACTGGTTTGGACTTTCATGTCTTTTCTTTGCTTGTAATGGAAAGAAAATATTAGAGAAGGAAGCTTATTCAGTAAGTTTTCTGCAATTACCCAGGTAATATACATATATAGAATTGTGGAACATTATGTGTATTTTATAAAAGTCTTCATGGGGACTTTTTTATAATTTATAAATTGAAAAATCTTTGGCACATATTAGGTGTGTAATAGTTGTTGAATGAATCTGTGAATGAAATAGTTAATGCACTGCCCAACATGACACTTGGAGCATTTTATGGCACTTGCTTGTATATATGACTCTTTTCCACTCTTTCCACCTATAAATATCCAAGGTTTTTGTGTCCTGTTAACTTCTTCTAGTACCTGGCAAATATTAGATGCTGAGTAAATGTTTGATGAATGAATTAATAAATGATGACATGTATAGTGAGACATATTTACAAAGTGCATTGCTTACAGAGTAAATGAGTGATTATATTTTGAGGAAATGAAACATTTATAACTCTTCTGTAGCATTTTGAGGGTTCCTTTGCAATCCATTAATTACTATGGAGTTAAAATCTTTTTTTTTTCATTTGCATACCTTTTGTCTAAAGTGTTGAAATTAGCAAACAGATATGACTCGACGGCACATAACAACAACAACAACAACAACATGACAGTCTAGTAGATATAGTAGGTTTCAAAGAAATATTAGGAAATCTCATTCAACATGTCAAACAATCAATACACTTTGATCTTTTTAAATCTATTGCTGTATAGTTGAGTCCTAAGCATAGAATTGGGAGTGAATCTTCTTAACAAAGGGTGGAAATCATTTAGAAGTAACAGCCTCATTTTACAAAATCCTTTTATACAAGAGTGCAGAGTAGTGTTTATAGAGGGTAACTTTTCAGTTATTTTATTAGAAATTTCTTACATCTTTATTTTTGAGGCTAGCTTTGTGGGAAGATGCCAAGAGACTGGTGGCCAGGATATTGTACCTTAAAAATTGCTACTTTATCTGTGTGCTTACCTTCTTAACAATAAGGCTAAACCACCCAGTACTTGCTGTTAGAATAATTATCTTTTGCTTCACTTTGCACTGTTCTTCAGAACTAATGAAAATTTACTCACTAAAGTATTAAGTAATCACATATTCCTAAACAGATTTGACTATCAATCAAAACATAAAACACAAACTCAGATTTCAGTCAGTGCTGCTTAATGTACACAAATTTATTCTCAAGGCTGTGATTTCAGTTTAGAGTTGTTAATATGATAGTATCAACTTGTATGTGTGGGTGTCAGAGATTCTATAGAATGAGTAGGAAGAAATTCAAAACGTGACAACTGTTTTGCTTTATTAGCTCAAAGATGGATTCACATTTTCCTTTAATTTTTAAATTAAGTGGATTTAGTAAAACTGTACCTACTCAAAGGAGCTCAAGTTGTGTAGTGGTTAAGGCATTTGGCTGCTAACCAAAAGGCTGATGGTTCGTTTGACCCACCAGCCACTCTGTGGAAGAAAGATGAGGTAGTCCGCTTCCATAAAGATTTATGGTCTTGGAAACCCAATGGGGGTCACTATAAATAGGGGTCAACTTGATGGTAATGAGCTTGGTTTTTGGTACCTACTCATATAGATAAGCTATTATTTCAGGTGGGTGTATCATGGTTGTTTTAATACATACACAGAATATCTTACTGGGTTTATCTTTTTGTAAAACTCTTTGTTCTTTTAAATTGTTTAAAGACATTTTCTTTCTACTCCATCTCCCATCTCCCTTTGCCAGCTAATAGGAATGCTCCTTATGTCATGGGATTTACTATGAACTTGGACTCATGAACCATTTTTCTTCTTAGTCTGTGACATTTTTACTGAACCATGGAGTTCAAAGAATTTAGTCTTAAATTATATTCTGTTACTTTTTTAGTTTGACAGCTTGCACCTGGTCTTCTGAAAATCACTCAATGAAAACCCTGTGGATCACAATGGTCCAATTGGGCAGCTTTTCCTTGTGCCGTGCATGGGATGGCAATGAGTTGGGGTCCTATGCGGGCTAAGAGCAATGACAACACAAGCAACAAACACTGAGATAAAGATTCCAGGGAATTGGTTCTTTGGGAGAAAGCCCCACTAGGGGCCTGGGGAGGTGAGACAGGGAAGGGAGGCAGCCAGTACAGGATAAGCAGGTTATTCTGTAAACAACTGGAGGTCAGTCCCACTGTGGTTCTCTGGGAGACAGTGTGGGAGGTGTTTCAGAATTGTCCCAAGCACAGGATGAAGAAGTTGGCATGTTTTTCCTCTAATCACACGTGGGAGCACTTAACATTGGCTGAGGGCTTCTGGAGAGTGAACTTCTGGTACTTTTGCCCTGCCTGGGCATGGGCTGGGAGAAAACCTTCAGGCAGAGGATCTTAGGCATTGCTTAAGTATGATGCCATAGGTGTACGCTGGAACTGTGAGTAGAAGAAGATATAGGCAGGGCCCTGGCACTGTTGGCTATGATAATCTCTCAGGTTCTAATTGTTCCAAATTTAAGATACATCCTGAATAAATTTTCTGACTTGTCAAGTTCCTTTTGTATTTTCCGTATCCTCATTTTGGAATTTCCTTTGAGTTTTGTGAATTAGACAAGATAAACTGTTGTCTGTCACAGAAACTCTTCGGAGTCTCTTATATATATATATATGTATATATATATATGTATATAAGCTCTGGTAGCATAGTGGCTAAAGCACTTACTTCTGTAGTGATACTGCCTCGGAAACCCAAGGAGGGGTCGCTATGAGTCGGGGCCGCCTCGACGGCACATAACAACAACAACATATACATATATAAAAATATATATACATATATTTATGTATACCTATATATGAGTCAGGGCCGACTCGATGGCAAATAACAACAACTAACAACATATATGTATATAGGAGCTCTGGTAGCGTAGTGCCTGAGGCACTTGACTGCTAACCAGAAGGATGGCCGTTCAAACCCACCAGCCACTCCTTGGAAGGAAGATAGAGCAATCTACTTCTGTAGTGATACTGCCTCGGAAACCCAAGGAGGGGTCACTATGAGTCGGGTCCAACTCAACGGCACATAACAACAACACAACAATATAGGTACATATAGTTATGTATATTTTAAAAAATTGTGATTTGAGTTACCGTTTACAGAGTAAATTGGTTTTCCATTCACCAATCCAAACATATTCTGTTTTGTGATGTTTACTGCAATTCACAGTGTAACAGCTTTCTTCCCACCTCTGTGCCCAACCCTTCCCTTGTTCTTCCTTTTCATCCCCTCCCACCTTCCTAGCTCTATTCCTGGGCAAATGCTGACCTCTTGATCATATGCTTGATTCTTCTAATGAGTGTGCTGTCTCCTGATAGTACCATTCACCATATATGCCTGTCTATCGTTTGGCTGTCAGTTGAGTTAGAAGGGTTAGGTTTATTTCCTAGCTTGAATGGTGTCAAAGGGCTATAGTTTTGGGGTTCCACCAGTCTTCATCAGATAAGTAAGCCTAGGTTTTTTTTTTTAACCATTTTCAGTTTTGTTCCATATTTCCTCCCACTCTATTTAGGAACTCTTATTATAATCCCTTTCAGAATGGTCAGCAGTCACACCTTTATATCTTTTTTTGAATTGCCTCTTTACCTACCCCCAGGGTGTTTCCCTGGAAATCCTTCTGTTATTGTCACATAACCCTTCTGAGCTTTTTTTTGAGCTTGTAACTGTGGACCTGGGATACTCAGGAGACTTTTATTCCTGCCCTCCAGAGTTCCCCTGAGTTTGGAAAGCTTGATATTCCTATATAGTTTGTCCTTCTCTTTTGCTTTTGCTTTCCCAGACACAAACTTATTTAATGGAAGAAAACTCTCTTATAGGAATTTATTCTGTATCTCAGCTGTGATAAATGGTTGTGGACACATCAGTGAACCAATTGTGCTATAACAGATGGTCAGTACAAGTTCCTTTTCTTCATCTAATTTGATTCATTATTAACTAGAGCTTTGTTAACATTCACAAGAAAAATAACCTCTTAATTATTTTTCATTTTTATCTTTATGTCTTAATTTTCTGTTTTTATCTCTATGTCTTCACCCAGTTCCAGAGTCCAACATGGTATATCTCCATTCTTAACAGTGCTTTCAGAGCATATTTAGAACTTGAAGCAATGCAAAACATTTTAGGACAATCTTTGTGGAATATGTATTTGGAACTTCTAATTAATGAACCAGCATGATATAATAAAAATGGAAAACTGACTACTCCTGGGATGGGGATTCTTTGAGATCATATTGCTTACTATAACTTCATTCATCTTATGACATTAGGTAATTGAAAGAAGAGCTGGTGAAGTTTTCATTGGATGGATTAAAATCAACCTGTAGGTAAACCCAGACAAGTAGAGACAAAGGGACGCATGCTCAACTATTGACTGTACCTCTAGAGTTCTTAAGAAAACCATAATATACTCAGAACTCAGAAACTCTTGACTTAAAATAGTGGTTTGTAGTTGTTCAAAATATAAAGATCAAATCCTCAGTATGGCTGCCAGGCCCTGTGGGCTCTGGCTTCTGCCAAGTTCTCTAGCTTTACTTCAAACCAGACTTTAGCTCTAGCAATTCCTAGCTGTTCCTTCTGTTTTCCCTCTAACCACAGGCCTTCATACATGTTGTCCTCTCTGCCCGGAATACTTATCTTCCACTTTTCATCTGGTTAGCTGCTACTCATTTATCAGCTCTCAGCTATAATGTAGCTTCCTCAGGCAATCCCCACAATTCCCCAGGGCAGGGCCTATTTCCATTGGTCTACATGCTCCATACACTTTTCCTTCCTTCACATAGTTGACTTTTTCAATCTATTGTAATTATCAAGGTCTATTTTGTAATTTAAGGAGCTATGGTAGCACAGTGTTTAAGGCATTTGGCTGTTAACCAAAAAGCCAGTGGTTCAAACCTAGCAGCT